CCTTTCCAGTTGTCTCAGGAAAATTAATCTCCCTTAGCTCCTTTCCATGATGCATGGTGGATGATAGAAGAGAAGAGTCTAGGATTCACATGTATCAAAGCTATGAATTCTGAAGAAAAAAATTCTGAAACAAAACCCCAGTGACCCTCCCACCCTCCCAGGGTGCTCATGCACGCTGCATGAATGGTCACCGGAGTCTCTGTCTGTCTCATCATCTTCTCTTCACCAGGCTGATAGGGCATCATTCACTTATTCAACCAATCTGCAGAGTACCTCCTACATAGCAAGCACTTTTCTAAGGCTTGAATTAAACAAAATTCCTGTCCTGATAGCATGACCAATTATTCTGGCACATGTCTATTGACTTTATATACTCAGGCCAAAAAAAAAAAAAAGACATTGCTTTATGATCCTTAACCTTATTATAACTGGAAGCTTCCATCCCACAAGGCTGATAAAAATTTTAATCTTGGGCATTTTTAGGGACCTGTCCCAGAACTCGCTAGGGTCCTACAAACATCTGTAGACTTTATGGGTTGCTGGAAAGTGGGTGAAAAGACCTCACTACTGTTCATTCCATGGTGATCATCACTGATGTCCTTCTTCCCAGATCCTCATGGTCCCTTGAGGGCGGATGGCTCCACAGTTTCTGTGCTGTGTTGGCCTGGAGCTTTGTGCTCAGGGTGGGAGTCCCCAAGTTCAAGGTCTTCCTCATATGGAGTTTCCAAAACTGGGTTCTCTTCCTTCCATTATGCATAAATAGCACTAAAGCCTTTTTCTCCAACAAGGTCAGAGCAAGAGACAAGTGCTTAATTCATGAATCCAGAAAGAGCTAAAAGAGGTAACTAAGTATATATCTTGACCATTATATTTTTAACACAAAACATATAAATGTGTATTTGTCAGTCAGTCTCTTAATATTGACCCAAGCCCTTTCCTTTCACTATGATCACACTGTCTGGTGTGGTCATTATCTCTCTTAGATCCCTACTCATATTTCATCAGTGATGTTCACCTTTAATTCCTTTATAGCGAGTGGGAAATTAAACACTCTTGGGAAGCAGTCTGAAGAAAGAATTTTCTAGACTTTTTTTTAATTCTTCCCCAATTTTTCATTGTTTCTCACTTGCATTAATTTCACAGGAGTAGCTAATTGCATTGCCTAATTCTTTCCAGAATATTCAACTTAACTTTCATAGGAAGAACCCTTTCTGTGTATATTCACATCTCACTGGGTTACATTGAGTTTAAGTGCATATTCTGAAGAACTAGTGTAACAGGCATTAACTTCCTTAGGAGAAAATTTAGCTAACTCCTGAGAAGCACATAACTCAGCTGCTGGAGGAGGAAGAAGTAGGTGAGCAGACCAGAAAGTGACTGACTGGATCACAGACCACTCCTGAGCTGTGGACTGCACTCAGGATGTTTCACAGAAGAAAGGGAAAGCCATGCTTTATCTTCCAAGTTTGGTGGAAATCCGTTATGAAAACTTGGTCAGGGTTTACAGTATCAGTTAAAACTGTGCTTCCCTACTGGGTATTTCCCCTAAAGATACAAACGTAGTGATCCGAAGGGACATGTGCACCCGAATGTTTATACAGCAATGTCCACAACAGCCAAACTATGGAAAGAACCTAGATGTCCATCAACAGATGAATGGATAAAGAAGAGGTGGTATATATATACAATGGAATACTATGCAGCCATCAAAAGAAATGAAATCTTGCCATTTGTGACAATGTGGATGGAACTAGAGGGTATCATGCTTAACGAAATAAGTCAATCGGAGAAAGACAACTACCATATGATCTCCCTGATATGAGGAAGTGGAGATGCAACTTGGGGGTTAGGGGGGTAGGAGAAGAATAAATGAAACAAGATGGGATCGGGAGGGAGACAAACCATAAAAGACTCGTAATCTCACAAAACAAACTGAGGGTTGCCAGGGAGAGGGGAGTAGGGAGAGGGTGGCTGGGTTATGGACATTGGGGAGGGCATGTGATATGGTGAGTGCTGTGAAGTGTGTAAACCTGGCGATTCACAGACCTGTACCCCTGGGGCTAATAATACATTATATGTTTATAAAAAAATTAAATAAAAAAAAATGTTCTTCCCTACCCTCTTGCTAATGGCTGTTGTCACTTAAAAATGTAGACTTGGGGGCACCTGGGTGGCTCAGTTGGTTAAGCGGCTGCCTTCTGCTCAGGTCATGATTCCAGGATCCTGGGATCAAGCCCTGCATTGAGCTCCCTGCTCAGCAGAGAGCCTGCTTCCCCTTCTCCCTCTGCCTGCAGCTCTACTTGTGCTTGCGCTCTCTCTCTCTCTCTCTCTCTGTCAAATAAATAAATAAAATCTTTAAAAGAAAATGTAGAGTTGAAGGTCTTTGACCTTGAAACTCACAGTGATGTGAAACCAGCGTGTCTTAATTTTTCAGTTCTTGAAGTTTCAAATTCAATTTCACTGTGTTTTCCTAAATAGAAGGTATAAGGCTTATCTTTATTTGTCCTCCAGGATCTCAGTTAAAGTGATTGGTTTTTCACTTCATTCTCCTTCTCTGTCCTCATTTAACCTCTCTTATAGGTGTTAATGAAGAGTCACATAGCCCAAAAAAGCTGGGGGTGTGAGGAGAGGGAAGAGAAGACAGGAAAGGGAAAGAAAGCTAATAATCTGTTTTCTGTACAAAATCAGAGCTTGGCTTCTAAAGGATCCAGATGCTTCTCTATGGGCATCACGTAGAATACGGCCTTGCAAAATGTGCCAGTAGGAAACTTTTCTGGGCACCAGGAGGGTTATTAAAAGAACATAAAACCTTCTGTTTCTGTATATTATGTGCATGGATACAGAACTAGAGGGAAGTGCACTTGGCTTGTGCACCTGTGAGGAAATGGCTCAAGATTCTTCTCTCTGTTCTAGCTTCCAAGATGATATTTGAGCTTCTCCAGCTAGTAATCGTCGCAGAATAAGATGATTTCATCCATTTGGCATTAAGTGTGTTAAACTCCCAGATTTGCCTCTAGAACCATCTTTCCAAAGCACAGGTCTGATATTGTCACCCCTTAACTCAGAAAACTCCAGCATCTGGCCTTGCCTAGTGAATTAAATCCTTACCTTGCCCTGGCATTTCCATCCCTCCCAACAGGTCTTGCTCACTTGTTACTCAGGAGTGCCCTGTGTCTACACTCCACTCGGGACACGCGGGGCTACTTGTGCTTGTCCATGAACCCTGGGCCTCTGCTTGTGCTCTTGTTGGCTGCTTAGAATGCATGCGTTCCCATCATGCCTGTGTCTGTTAGGCGTAGGGGAGGGTTGCAAACAGCAGAATCCCCCTCTCCCTTCACAAAAATGACAAGTTTTATTTTCCTCAACATGCTCTCTTCATTTCTTCCCTTCTGCTAGTATTTCCCAAACTTCTCTTCCATCAGTATCTCTGTGTTAGTGTTTGTCCTTTTAATGGACTTACAATGTTTCCACTTGAATCTAGTTATTATAGAACATTTGAGTCTATGTGGATAAAAAGAAACCAGTATCCCTTGATAAATAAAAACTCACCACAAAAATGAATTCAATAAGATATACAATGATCTTACCTTCTATCTAGGTGACACTTGCCTGTGGCGTGCTCTGTTTTGGTTTGTGTATTAAAGATTGACAGCCAACAGAGTTTCTCCTTTATGAAATTAGGACAATGGAAGAAGAATGGAAAGTGGGGTGGCTTTCTTGATGTTTTGTTGTTGTTTTTTTATTGTGTTATGTTGTCACCATAAAATAAATCATCAGTTTTTGATGCAGTGTTCCAAGATTCATTTTTTATGTACAACACCCAGTGCTCCATGCAATACGTGCCCTCCTTAATACCCACCACCGGGCTTACCCTTCCCCCTACCTCCCTCCCCTCTAAAACCCTCAGTTTGCTTCTCAGAGTCACAGTCTCTCATGATTTGTCTCCCTCTCTGATTTCCCCCAACACCCTTCTCCTCTCCATCTCCCCATGTCCTCCATGTTATTCCTTATGCTCCACAAGTAAGTGAAACCATATGATAATTGACTCTCTCTGCTTGACTTATTTCACTCAGCATAATCTCCTCCAGTCCCATCCATGTTGATACAAAAGTTGGTTATTCATCCTTTCTGATGGAGGCATAATACTCCATTGTATATATGGACCATATCTTCTTTGTCCATTCTCCTGTTGAAGGGTATCTCAGCTCTTTCCACTTACTGTTTTGTAGGTAACGCCACACCCACGAACCATCTAAAATAACCTTTGGTATCATCAGTGTGTATGAGAATGTGCTCCATACTTTGGAAAACAGTTCCTCACTCCTGTGAAATGATAAGCAGCTAGAGGGCAAGAGATGATTCTCCTCTCCGCGTTCTTTGCCTTTCTGAGAATCTACTCCTTAGGCCTCTAAACTCTCCTTCTTCTGGGGGACACTGAGGCACCTGATGAGCCACCATATTATTTGATGGGAAGAGAGAAGTAGATATTTCTGTAGCACCAGCCAATGGATTAGTCTGCCTTCTGTGAAACATCATGATGTAGGTTCTGCAGGCCTCTGGTCTTACGCTGGAGAATGAGTGTTTCCTCAAGTTCTTGTGTGTGTATGTGTCTGGGCAGGGTATACATGCTGTGGGGAGAGAGTAGGAGAGGAAGACTGGGAGGTTTTCTGAACTTAATTCACAAAGCTCTGTTCGTGAAATGCCCCAGTGCTCTAGGAGTTGGGTTGGTGAGTTCCTGAGATCCGTGTTTTTGGGGAACTGGACAAGACTCTGGAGACCATCTCCTCCGCTAACCACCCCCCACCACCTGGCCCTACCTACTCCATTCCCCTTTTATGGATGAGGAACCAGGGTTTAGGGAACAGGTGTCCAGCCAGCGGGAACTCTGCCTTTAAGCTATAAATGGGAGTTGAATCCAGATGCTTGCGACAGAAAGCAATCACAGTGACCCTCCTGTGACAGACATGAGTTGTTCACAGAATTTTCCCCTCCTTTTCCAGGCCGTGCTGAGTCCTCTTATAGCCATCGCGCTGAAAATATCCCAGATTCATGAGAGAACTGGCCGGAGAGGCCCCACTGTCATCACCTGAATGGAGGAAAGATCAGTCACCAGGGCCAAAAGAGAGCCCTTGGCGGGAGACCCTTCACCCATGCCTTCTTGCTACCTGTTTGTGCCTTTTATGATTTCGAAAACACACACACACACACACACACACACTAATTTGCTGGTGGGTGGGGGAGGGGTGGGTGGGAAGAGAAAAAGAGAAAAAACGAAGTTTTGTTTGGGGTTGGGTCTATTCCTCCAAATGCAACAAGGTCTTCAGTTGTCTGTTAAAGCAGCACTATCATTTGGTATCTATATTTTACCACACCAAAGAACCTCCCCTTTTGAGAAAGAGGAAGCAGGCCAGGAACATGTCCATCATGGCGTCGTGTACCATTGGTGTGATCTGAGGGAAGGTTCTGAATTCATGCACAGAGCGCAGTGCCGGAGTTAGGCTAATCCCCAAGCTATGGGTGCTATTCCGAAGGCTCTCCTTGGAAGACTGTCCTTGGTGTGGTAGAGGACTTAGCTTTTCATCCTGGGTCAGGTCTCCCAGGGGACACCTTGTGGAATTTCTCATGGCCACCAGCCACCCGATGGCCCACCTGCCCCCTCCCATCTCCTGCGAGTCCCCATGCCACCTTCTCTCACATCTTTGGAAGCATTCTACAGATCCCCACGGCACACTTTCAAGGAAACACAGCAAAGGGTGTCTTCCTCTCTTATTTTGTAAATAGTGCTATTTTAGCTCTTCTGCCAGCTGCATTCCTCCATATTTCAGCCATTCGTTGTGCAGGTGGAACGCAGCATCTTGGCAGGAGACTGCAGATGAGTGCCTAGCATTTCGCTGACCCTCCCTTGACGACATCATGTAGGGTGATACAAGGGTTTACATCCATTTCTCCTGGGAAGACAAAATACCACCCTGATTTCCTGCTTTCTCTCTGACTCTCTCTCCGCTCCGTTATCTCACAGCAAGGGCCTGTTTTAAAGCAGTCGGTTGGACACAGCTCACATCTTACTCACAAGGGCTCGAGAAGGAGACCGTGAAATGCTAGCGAAGTAGAGAATAGAGTGCTTGCTGGAAGACCTTAGTGGTGGTGGTTAAGGACCTGAGGAAATGTGGGAACAGGGGGTGGCATCCCTGCCGGAATCAAGAAGGTCACAGCTGGCTCACTTTGCCCAGGAGAAGGACACTGCATCCCCAGCAGCCTCTGTCTGCCCCCAGTCAGGACATCCGGTGCGTGGGACCTGTTTGCATATGTTTTGCTTCCTTGGAAATGACACTCTCACTCACCCTATCGTTAGCACAGATGACGTGGTGCTCTTTGACTGTGAAGCAAGGGGGTTTTACTGTGGTCACCATGAGAGCAAGCAGGGAGATGTTCCCGGGAAGGGATTTGTGTCCACTTTTTATCTCTGCTTCTGTCAGAAACTTGCTAGGACATGTAGTAACCAATAAAAAAGAAATTCCTGATTTCAACCTGACGCATGGATTGTGGATTTTTGCATGTCTGTCTTGCCATGGGTGTTCCCATTTTGGTAAGTCTGTCTTTCAGGACACTGGCAAGGGCTGGCTTTCGTTGTTAGGACCTGGAAATGTATTATGTAAGTGGGACCAGAAAAGGCAGATTGCTCAAAATTGCCTTTGGGAGTCAGCAGAGATGAAGTTGGCAACCGGTCTTTTATCGTAAGTATCTTCGTTTCATATTCACAGAGGGTGGCTTTGAACAGAGATTCTGAAGTCATGGACTTTACCAGCAACACATGTCATTTGCCTTAAAGCTTTGGTTCTTGCCACCTTTACGCGGTGTCTTTGGGGGCATCCATGTACTACTCAGCTCTGCGTGGGTCCGTACAGCAGGATGCATTTTTAGGGTTAGCTCTAGGTCAGAAAATATGTATGTTTTTCTCAAGTCCCTGAACTTTGAATCATCTCTAGCTTCAAAGTTCAAGTATAAGGTAATCCTCATTTAAAATTTCTGTTTTGTTTTTATTTCTAGCATGTGTGCCTAGCCACCCAAGTATACATTCATTCATTCATTCATTCATTCAACAAACACTGGTTGATCAACGACTCTCTGCAGGGTCCTGTTTGTGGTGCAGTGAGGAGAAGTATAAAATGTGATTCCTGCTCCTAAGAGTTTGTAAGGTGGGCATGGGAGGCTATGACAAAATACACAAACAGGCGGGAGGACATGTTCTAGTAGAGGTGCCAGGAACATGCTATGGGAACACGCAGAGGGATTGTCTCTGAGATGGCAGGACACTAGGCACCTGGTGGGTTTCCCAAAGAGTGGAGTTTCCTGAGACTTGTAATCGTGTATATGATTTCACAAGGGGTCAGTGTAGCCAGAGCAAAGACTGGGAGTTGAGAGGTAGGATGGCTGGAGAGGAGGCTTGCGTTGGGTCTCATGGCTTCACATTGGATCTTTCTTAAGAGTAAATGACTGGAGAGGTCCAAGAATTTTGTAGGGACCACGGAAACCATCATAGAGGAAAGCGTGGATGGAGTGTGGCAACTGTCAGGCCACTCTTGTGATTGGCTAATATCGAGGGGTTCACTCGTGACACCATGTGCCCCCAGGATGATGGCAAGCAATGGTGTCCACAATGCAGTGGATTCCAACCATGCCAGTGTTTGGAAATGTGTGTGTATATGTGCCGGGGAGTCATTTAAGGGAAGGGGACGGCGGATTCTAAATATTCTACCAGGGGTCCACCAGTCCTTTAGAACAAAAAATTGGTTTGCCTCATTCATGATTCTTGGGTTCATTAGCTGACCTTGAAAATGGCAGGCAGCCGTTATTAAAACGAGATATTTATCCAGTATTACTGATCCAAGGTCCAGAGAACAAATGGTTTTTTATGGCATCTCAGGCTGAAGGGCTTGAACATGACCTGAAGGCTTTCTACACAGGAAGCCTTAGACGGATGATGAGTCCCATGGCGGCACATTGGGCCGATGGTCAGCTGTGCTGAGCCAGTGTTGTCTGCAGATAATGCAGACAGCCCCAGGCATAATGGTGCGCTGACTTCTGATTGGCCAGCTGTGGGTCCGTGTAAGGCATGGGATTTACTTTGACAGCGATAGCCGTCAGCCATGGCAGGCATGGGGAATTTGAAAAGCACCTGCAGGAATAGGGAGTGCCGTAAGAGGTGACTCCATTTTATTGCTTGATCATGCACTGGGTAGTCTTGAAACACATGGACCCTGACATCCCAGACACCTGCCTTGAGGAGATCTCCCTCCTGGAGTGGAGAAGGGCCTGAGAAATCGTGCACCTTTCGAAATGATGTAACTGCCAGTAAATCAGTGTTTGTCCCTTCAGCAGTTACAAACAGCAAGAGAGGATCGGAGGCAGCAGAGCTTAGCAGATGTCTGTTCTACTCCCACCAGCTGGAGTCCTTATCGGTGGAAACGGCTCATGCAGTTGACAGCCCACTTGGTATGTGAATATTAATGTCATGGAAATTTATAGAATATGGTGAAGCTATGCATTATAAGTCCATATCTTTATCATCTTTTCATGTCTTTTAACACCTAGTATGTGCCTGCAATAGAGGCGAGCTGGGGAGATACCTCACCGAAGATGGTGTGTTTAAGTAGAATCTTGAGAGATGGGTAGAATTGCCAGTAAGAGTACTTGTGAGTTTTGGAGCAGAGAGGTCAAAACTACATGTACTACATCTCAGATATGCAAAAGATGCAGCATAATGTATTCTATAACTGACCTTGTCATGCTCACCTTCTGGGAGATGGAGGGAGTACCGAAACCCACCATTCAGAGGAAGGTTATAAGATGAAAATACTGGAGGAGCTGTCACCTCTAAGAATTTCCCTTCCTCATTGACAGGTGAGCCTACCATTCCTGTGAGAGAAGGGAATGACCAAAGACTGTAGTGAATATTTGCCTCTTCTCCACCCTTCCAGTCTCCATGCCCTCCTTGCATTCAGGGAATCCTGGTTCCATCACCACTAATTGTACCATAAACTTAAGGAGGAAGACGGGATACAATGTCTACCTCCTTGAGGAAGTCCCTTAGGGCTGGCCAATGAATTCTTATTAAGCACAACAGAACGCTTTTGTTCTGGCTTGCCCAGTAGGTTTTAATTGCTGGGCCTCTCAAAGGTAGGATTTGTTTGGACTAACACCCGTGTCCTTGATGGCCGGCTTCAGAGTACATCTGTTTTCAAAAAAGCAATAAATGTCTATTAGTAGTACTTCTTTTCAGAAAGCACCTGGCTTATCTTCTGAACCAATAGTTCAGTAATGTTCGGGTTTTCAAAAAGATTAACTCATCTGGATGCTTCTTTAGTTCCACAGGGAGAATCAAACTTTGATTTATGTTCCCTTATTGATTTTTTTTTCTGATACAAAACAAAGATAAAAGAGAGGGAAGTTTAAGTACAAAATTTATTGCAGTAAAGAGACCAAAACAATTTTCTTATGTAAACCAAAATTAACATGTTTCATATGACTACCAGAAGTTGGAAAAGCCACCTATGACACATGCACACTCTGGCTAAAAGCCCAGTGACAGAGTTGGTTCAGGCCCATGGACGTGTTCAGACCCCAGAAACAATTTCAGGTTAACATGCTCAGTAAAGGGATAGAAAAAGATGACAAGAGAGAAATAATAAATTGCATTGCTAAGAAATAGTCACCTTCTCATCGAACAACCATGAGTGACCTTCGTATCAGTTATGCCCTTAAGGTCAAGGATTCAAATCCCAGAGGCCCAAATGCATGTTTCATATAAAGGGACCAGGATTTCTTCTTATGTGGCTTCCTTGTGTATTTGTCAAGATATGCTTAATCTGTACACTCAGCAAAAATGGGAAGAGGAGGCCATGGAGGCTCCATTCCATCTCAACAACCCTCTTCCTCCTTGAAAGCTCTTCATCCTCACCACCACTATTCAAGTCCCCCTCTTGCCCATTCACTGAGGACTGCCTGTCACCAGCAGGAGCCACTATTCATCATCGATGGAATGATCAGAGAGAAGGAAACTTCAAGAAATGAGGGTCAAGCTCTTAGGCAGAAAACATGGAGCGTGTATTTACATGTTAAAAGAGAACCCTATTATATGTCAAATATGGTGGAAAAAAATTTAAATTTTTTTTTAAGTTAAAAAATATAAAAGAGAATTCTAGAGCAAGCTCTCTGTCTTCCTCAAGGCCTATAAGGTATTTGCACCAGTGCTGGGGCTCTACTTCTTGTTGGGACCCACTTTCTGAAGCTGGAGAGAAGTCCAAACTGCTCTGTGAGAGAAGGGAGCTGAGACAGGGTTAACCTAGCACAAATGTTTGAAGTAAATACACCCTCTTACACCCCTCTACTGGAAACAACTGTATGCTTTGGGCAAAGTTTCTTAACGCTCTGAAGTCTC